AAAAAAAAAAAAAAAAAAAAAAAAAAGACGAGAACTTGAACTATGAGCTACTAATCAAAAATCATTTACTAAAAAGGGTAAAATTTTCCATCACTTGATTATTTACTTACTGTGGCAAAGTGCAGTCATCGGGTTGCCATTCCCAATATCTATATTCCGAATCTATCCGTCCATTTTCGACACAGGTGACTTGTCTGTCCAAATACGGGCAAATCCTGTCCGAATACAAAGGCTTCATCGAACGGTTGAAAACCCATCTCCCCTCGACCAAACTGCATTCTTCTGGATCAAATTCGAACCGGTCATCCACACCGTAGTTCGGCGCACTTTCATGCATGCTAACTTCTTCGCCTGTCGAAAAACACAAACACGTAGAAATCAATATTTGTTTCCATAACAATCACTAACACAATATATTGAACTTTTGATAACTGGCAATAAACAACCATCGTTTTATGTGCTAATTTATGATTACTTTAATCAGTTATTTCTTACTCATGGAAAATCAGTTTTGATAAAAATAAGTATAACACGAGTATATACTCGGAAAATAAAATTTTACTACGCAATTTGATTCAACCTGAATTAAATATTCGGCCATAAAAAAAAAAAATTAGTCAAAATCGGGTCAAATCTAAATTTTCTGTAACTAATTTTCTAAATGTTAGGAATTTGGTTGTGTGTACCTGAAATAGATTTCTGGGCAGATTTTCTTCTGAGACAGGCCTTTGAACCGAAAGTTTGAGTCGACAAAAGCACGACAAAAGCTAAGCTGCAAATTATGGCGGTAACAACGGGCAATGAGATCTTTATTCTCGTTTGACTCGGAATGCCCATTGCAAAGAATCGAATGAGAAACTTTTAGAACTATAAGCTCGACAAGTTCGGTTGAAGTTATGTCATAGTTTTAGGCCTTCGAGTAGTCGATTCTTTCTTTGTTTTCTCTATTTATTTTTCATTTACATAACGAATCGGGTTTCGAACATATGCTCTAATCTCTATAGCTCTAAGGGCTTAAAAACCTTCTTCTAAAAGGAGTGTGCAAGTGAAAAAGAATGACATAATAAACATTACTTAGAAAGAAAGCTTGGAGAATTGTCTTTCATGGCAAGTTGAGTTGGAGTGAAGCTAAAGCCTTGTATGATTTAGAAAATGCACTCTTTTTCTCTTACTATGTAATGTTAACGATTAACCAGAAA